GTTGACTTGATGCATTACTGGAGCCACGAAAAAGCTGGTTATCTTGTTGGCTATCTGCTTCCGATGAATGAGTGCGATGTGCTCCGTTGATAAACAAACGCTACACTTATGGAGGCGGCCATTTTGGCATGGGGTGGAACAACGCCCTCTATTGTATTCTCTGCAGACTTGTTGTTGTTGTACCACGTGTTGTCCTCCGCTGCGGTGTGATCCAGTAGGCGAATGCATTGTTTGTTGATGATTGGCAGTCCAAACATATGGATTGTTGCGAGATCTGTTGTTGAAACAGTCATTTTGTAGATGACCTGTTTTCCCGCAACTACGGCACCTCCGACGTAATAAATGAGTGTTACTTTGAAAACATTCGTAGTCTAACTCCCCGTGGATTCCACTCAAAACACGTTGGCCATGAATCGTAAGTAGTTAAATAAATGCGGTGTCTGATCCGGGAAGTAGTACGAGTGATAGTTAGCGTACGTAGAAAAACAATCCACCCAAGTTTCAAAATCGTCGATCACCTTGCGTTTTGGTTGTGTAGTTAAATTTGCGATGCCAGGGTTGTCTTGATCTATGGAGACTTGCGTGTAGTTAAATTTGCGATGCCAGGGTTGTCTTGATCTATGGAGACTTGCGTGTTTTGCGACACAATGAAATTTGGCAGAATATTGTCTGGGTGGAACAACGATAAATCGACAAACTTACCACGATCTGCAACGTCGTTGAGGGTTGATTGATCAACGTAAGGCATGCACATGTATGCTGGCGGGAACGTGGCCGGTACTTTGAGGTTGCCGACTGGTGGTGCGACGTTGAACTGACTGTTGGGCTGTGTCTGCATTGGCGTAAATGGGTGGCAAGGCTGGCCGTATTGTTGTGTATGTGGATGCTGGTACTGTAGAACTTGATGTTGGAGTGGTTGAGATTCTTGTTGAGACGTTGCTGGCTGGTTGAGTGGTAGTTGGCTTGTTGGCTGACTGAGCAGTGGCTGACTGGACATTGTCGGTTGGATGAGCGGCAATTGGCGGATCGTTGCTGGCTGGTTTATCGGTAGTTGGCTTGGTGCAGGTACTGGCTGGTTGATCTGAAGCTGCATGACTAACTGCTGAAGTTGGAGACAACAAATTTACGTCGATAGCCGTTTCAATACTGACGGTGCGTGGAGTATGTGTTGTACTCATTGTACTGGGTGACCGATTGTCTGTGGTGACATCGACGGGACATGACTGCGTGCTGGCATTGGTCCGTTGTCTTTTAGCTGGTGCTACCTCGGGAGTGAACCGTGCTGGTATCTTTTTTGTGCGAGCTGGCCTTCCACGCTTGCCAGTAGAATTTTTTCCTGCAGGCATAGTGAATGTACTGGTAAGCTGATGTACTGGTATGCGAAATAGTATTGGAACGTTGGAACGCGAAATGAGAAAACTAGCAGCATGCACGATGGCAGTTACAATGCAAGTGGTCTGTACGAATATGATTGGGTGAAGATATGAGGATTATGGAATAAACAAGTGGAATGAATGTGCATGCATGATGTAAACATGAAACAAAAGTGTCATTAAGGAATATAAGCAAAGGTGGATTAAATATTAACGAGGTGTAGACATTAAACAAAGGAGTCAGCTGACATGTAAACACAGATGGGTGTAGTTAATTAACTGCAGGTGTGGGGCCCAGTGTTACCGGGGTTATGACTTAAGATTAAGAAGTGCAAGATGAGATGGTGTGCATCCAGTCCTTTACGTTAAACTCAGATTACTGCGTAATCAGCCAAGTATGTGAGGATTTAGGTTGTTTGATACAGTTTCACAGAATTTGTTTTGTTTTTGTACATATTGAGATTATGCTTTTATAAATGTTATCAATAAAAAAACAGGGGTTCCAAACCTTGTTTTTGAAACAAATTGTGTGTTTATCTTGTGTAGTTAAAACAGCGCTTTAGAAGAAATAATTAAACTACAGCTCACTTTTTTTTCTTGTGTCAACGTTTTCACTTTGGCATGTAGATGTTTTGACAAGTTGTTTGACAGCTTTAAAAAGAACGGGTCACATGCAAAACTTTGAATGCTGATATTTTGTAACATTTTTGTTGTTGCTGTCTTGTCTAGGCGCTATTCTAGGTGTTTCCGCTGTTGTACAGTTGCCAGACTGTGAAAAAGTGAAGCTAGAAAACTATCCAACTGTAGCGGACTGTATCACTGCATCTAATAATGCAGAAATTCTTCCTTGTGTAGAAGAACTGGTTACATCATGGTGTAAACAAATTGAACAGGTAACTTTTATATTTACACTGATTTGTACAGTGCATCATATAATTACTGTATTTAACTGATACCCCAACCTGAGTGATATTTTGGAAGACTGGCATATTTGGTGAGTGCTGGCTTCAAAACATTGCTTTAGCGCATATTTCTTTTGTGCTATTTCAATCCATTACAGCCAAAATACAATGGTCATGACAAGGGGTTGCAAGATATCAAGAACATTGCAGTCAGTATTCTAATTTATGTGAAAATGAAAAGCTTTTATTGGTTCAAAAATGTGTGTCACAAGGAGTTTGCATTATACGCATTGTTTGTGATTTTGTATATATAATAGTTCAGCAGCAAACATTCACAGTAGCGTAAATCAGTCATGCTATAACACATGTGAATAACTTGTTTGTTACAAACATATAGTGTACAAAATATTAGTTTGTTAGTTATGAAAGTTATGTTATAAGTTATGAAATGCTAGTAAAACTTATTTTCATCCTAAAAAAATGTTTTTGGTCTTGCACAAACACTCAATGTGAAATGATATCTGCTGTTTGTGCTCTCTACTTGTTCCACTGGTATATCATCGTGAGGTCTTTATAATCTTGCCTGTCAATGAACATATAATTTACTTGTAATAGTTTATTTTGTCTACAAACAGACCATACTGAATCATGTTTGTCTTTATCAGGTATTGGCTGAAAGTGATCAGATGCGTAAAGAAGCTGATGACACAGGCCCACTGGCTGAACTTGAACACTGGCGATTTTTGAATGCAAAATTCAATTCAATATTGCAACAGATCAAAGGCAAACGGTGTAAAACTGCCATCAGTATATTACATGCAGCAAAGTCTAAAACTTTAAAGGTAATTATGTAAAATTTAGACTAAGGGGTGATCTCATATTCAAACATGCGGGTCAAACCTACGAAAACCCAAACCACCCTAAAACAATAGACAGTGCGGTTCAGGACGACCGCACGAATTTGCATAAAAACTGCGCTTCGAACCGATCTCATTCACACCTCATTCAAGCTGTTGTTTATTTTTAGGATTGACAGAGTTTACATTGCTTTTTGAAGACTAGATAGTTGTCTCTAAAATGTGTCGATTTATTGGTGTACAGTAGTCATTTTACCCGTGTGTCTTGCCTTAAAAAAATACTCTTTCATATATCGGTGAACAGCGTGCTGAATAAATTGTTTTGTTTTGATAAACTTTTATGCTCGAGTCGCAAATTGAGCAGAGGATGTGAATCAGACTTTTCATTGGGCTGGACAATTGATACGTGTCTCTGACAGCTAATAAGTATCAGAAGACAAATGATACAAAGTTGCACTTGAGACTTACACTACTGTGTTCAAGCCTTTACTACTGTTGCACGTTCAATTTTCAAACAGTTTTTTCAGGAGTGCGGCATCGCAAAATCCGGAAAAACAAATGCAGCGTACGCCATGAAAATTTATTTCGATTTGCTGCACATCGGTTATTTGCAGTTTTTCTTATTCAATTGCCAGTGACACAAAGTATCAAAACAGAAAATTAAATTAAATGGACTCGCGCTGATTATTTATGGCTATTCATCTGCAGACGAG